GAGCTATAATCCTAACTCCTCAAAGGGGGTTATATACAGGGTATAGGGTTTAGGATCAATCTTTAGGCGGGAGCTTCGGTATATGAGCTATAATCTAAACTCCTCAAAGGGGGTTATATACAGGGTGTAGGGTTTAGGATCCAAACTCGGAAGCTTTAGGTGCCCCAGGAGCCAAGGACCCCTTAATGAAGGGATATTCCTTAAACCATATTTGGGATCCTAGTATGATTTACGGTATATCCCTTAAGTAGACTGAGGGATATTAAAGCTATTAAGGGGTATTGGGCTTGGGTTTAGGGTTTGGAACAAGTTTTTGGGAGGAGGGATCCTGGATAGGGAAAGCCTCAGTCTCCTTTTCGGGAAGGCCCGAGTATAAGTAAAGATGAATGAGTACATCTGTACATACGTATTTCATCCTTCAGCACTCCGTTGTATGCGTCTTTGTCAAAGTATCCATCCGACTGTCTAAGTGTGCTGTAGAGATTTTGAGGGATCTGGAAGGGCTCTCAAAGGCCGGAGGTCAAGGCAATTAGCACTGACCAGCGCTGACCCTAAGGATCCTAATAGACCAAGGTAGGTAATATATGTAGGTAATGTTTACAGACTTTACGGCCCAGAGTAGGTATTATTTGTATACTTGGATCCCTACCAGGGTGAGCCTTCTTATCTAGAGGTGAAGGAATGGGGTTTCAACCCGAAACCCTCATGAGCAGGTTCGTGGATTGCTGTACGATCCCTTACTTCATTCCTAAGAATCATAAGGGTGGTTATCAAAATTATGGTCCCTTTTTGGCTCCCTATAAAAATACGGCACCTATTATTTAGGACACCCAAAAAGGGACCATCATTTTGACAACCACCCATAAGAGGAAGGAAGTCCCAAGACGCGGCAGCAGACAGGTGGAAGTGACAGCGCCGCCTCCTTTTTGAAGGAGAAGAGCAAAGAGGAGAAGCGCCTGCCCTGCATCCCCAAACCCAATTCTATTCATTGTTGTTCTTTACTTTCATTTGAAGTATTCTGACTAGTTTACTTAGTACGACTATTAATGTTACCGAAACAGGTTCAAGCAGCGCCTGCGCCAAAAGTCAAGGAGTTCATTTAGCTATGTAGTACTCGTACGTATGTGGGCCCCGGACGTAGTCATTCAGGAACCATATACTAGATACATAAATGAGCCACTTGAAAAAAGTCAAGAAGTCGCGAAGTCAGAATCAAGCGAATTGTATGAGCCACAAGCATGGGCCAGTAGGAGAAGCCCGTGCTGGTGACCTCCTGCACGGGAGATGCCAAGAAGGAAGCGGAAGCCACCTGTGTGGAACACCTTGGAGAGGACCATCCGGTGAGCGCAGACTTTCTTGTCCCTATATGAGGTATGATTCTGTCATGGAGTTACTTTGAGTGGAGTGTGCAGTATGTACGGTTTCCTCGGAATATAGGCGAGTATATTTCTTGGACGTCCAAGCGGGAGACTCTAAACAAACGCTACGAGTCATGTGCGCTCGCATATGCTATGAGACGCCTTCAATGCCTAGACCCCAAAACTTCTAGACTGGAGCTAATCCTCACTCCTAGACATTATATATAGACTTAAAGACTTGCCATGCTTAGACTTGCTGGCGCTACATTGTTGCCTTGGTATAAGCCATCAGCACAGACTCTTCCCTACGGAGCGCACATCAAGCGACATGAGTCGGGACTTTAAGGTTTTGGGATTTCAGGTTGATTCTTGAGTCTTAGCAAGTCTTCGTTCAGCTGCCTAGCCTCGTCCGTGTGCCATTTGATAGGAGGCGCGGGAATCTGAGGGGCCTTTCTTTGAAGATTGCGTCTTCGATGTTTGCCGGGGAGGGGAGTCATTTGCGAAAGCAGCAGCAGAACTGCGTTCGCTCATGTAATCGCATCCTGGACTGAAAATCAGCCCTGTTTAAGAATGTTGACGGCACGCAGCATTCTCCGAAGGGGAACCCTGCTTGCATGCCCTGAATTGTTTGGAAGATGCTATGATCCATGACCTAAATCTCAAAAGCGCGGTACTGCCGTACATACACCCCGAGGATGCTGACGTCATTTAAATTTGAATGGAAGCCTACCCCTAAACCATGCAAAGCCCCGAATCCTGGAAAGTTTGATGAGAATCAGCCGACACAAGCAAGATTTGCTGGAAGGATGGTTGCCTGGTTTAAACTATGCACCAACCCCCATCACTTGTAAGTCCGAACGAAGGTTATGCGCTTTCATGGTGCCACATAGAGAGTTTAGGGTGTAGGTTTCTAAGCCCTACCACAGAACACTCACAGCGCATGCCCACTATCATGGTACAGAGATTTCGGCCATGGACGTACAGCATGACAAGTGACAACTGACAGACAGGCTGCCGTGAGCTATAGTCTAAACTCCTTAAAGGGGGTTATGTAGAGTCTAGGGCTTAGAGTGTAAACTCCTTAAAGGTGGTTATATAGAGAATATATAGGGGAGTGCTGCAGGCCTTATTAAGGGGGATACGAGGAGTTAAGACTAGAGGTCACATGAGCTTACTGTATTTCATGGTAGTTAGCAACCAAGGTAAGCGCAACTTCCAAGAAGACAGTCTGCACAACTAAGGGTAACTCTTTGGAGATCTCTATCACAAGTCATTTTGGAGTCTACATTGGAGTCCCCCCTATTTAGGGGAATTACCATTTAGAGGGCAACACCAGCACCTCTTGGGGCACTTGTAGCAGCCATGGTATGAGGTCCTAACCATGGTCTCCTAATATAGGCCCTACCTGTAACCATGTGCCCTTAGTTGGCATTGCAGTGGTCAATGGATGAAGGGCCCATACCCCTAAACCGTAAACACCCCTAGACTTAGACGTTGTGGGATGAAGTTGTTTGAGCAGACTAGGCAGGTAACATTCCAAGCTGCAGCCAGAGTTGCAGCTAGGTAATATCCCAAACCCTAAACCCTAAACCCTAAGCCCTAAACCCTATCCCATAATCCCCTCTAAGTGCTATCAGACAGAGGGTCTAAGGAAGTTTCAGGTGGGCAGTTTCCCCCAGATAAGCCTTGCGTAGCCCTTATATAGCCCTAGTCTCCCCACATAAGCTGTGTATAAACCTTATGTAACGGTGCCCACTTGGTAACTTAGACACCCTAATCCCTGAACCCTAAACCCTAAATTCCTAAACCCGGAACCCTAAACCCTAAACCCTGAACCCTGAACCCTAAACCCTAAACCTTAGCGAGTTGGTGCGCCTGGCGCAGGCCTGCTGTTTGTCGGCAACTCACACACTTACCAGCCAAAGGAGCTCCTTTGCACAGTGTATGTAGGATTTGGGGCTTACATTCCCAATATTATAGATGACATTCCCAATATCATAGATGTAGGGTGCATGTGTTTTTTTGTTTTTCTCTCTCTCTCTCTCTCTCTCTCTCTCTCTGTCCCAGTCTCACTCTCACTCTCACTCTCTCTCGCTGGTTGTCTTTACCTACCTACAAATGAGCACAGCTCGGGGAGAAGCGAGTGGCCTGTCTTGCACAATGCCTTGTTCTTCATCCATTCTCCTCATCTGAGCCATTGTCTAAACTCCTAGTATCCCCCTTAATATCCCCTACAGTAGTCCCCTCCCTATAGAATCCCCTATATATCCCCCTTTAAGGAGTTTAGACTATAGCTCATCTGACCATCCAACTGCGACTGGTAGCCTTAAGTCCTGCCGACGTGCAGCTATTTCCCTTCTAAACCCTCAGTCCTAAGCCTAAGCCCACACCCCAAGCTGTGTGGCAAAAACAGCAGGAGCTGGGCGGCCTGCCTGGTGCTGTGGGACGCCTTGCTGCTGCTTTGGGTTCCACTGTGCTCCTTGCAGGGATAGGGTTCTGGGGCTTGCAAGGCTTTTTGAGGGTGGTTAGTGGGCTAGTCACGAAAAATCCCAGATTATAATCAGGTTATTCTATGATTCCTTATAAGTGCAGTAATACACAAAACTCGTGTTTTGAGACATGGAATGACGAATGGAAGGAAGCTGGCTTAAGTCGACACCCAGTTCCCCTGACAGTGAAGGTGAATGTCCAGGTAGTACTTTCGGATATAGTCCCCCTTCAGTAGAAAATTAGAATATGGCTTTGGGTAGATTATGATAAGATCCCCATATACCCCATCTACTTAAGGGCGACTATAATTTAAGGTTTAGGGTTGAGGGCAGTGTCCCCTATTCTGGCAGAAGGGACCCTAGTTAGGCACAATTTTGGCGGCCTTTAAAGTACCACCCAGAAGTTCTTTACTGATTTACGTCTGAAGTCAGCTGCTAGGCCGTGCGCCCACGTGAACTTATGAAGACAATGATGACAATAACAGCTGCTATTTCATTTTCCATCTGCTTGTCCGTTTGTTTCAGCATTACACCTCGCAAGTCCAGACCCTAAACACGATTGCGGGTGTAGGGTTTAGGCGGTTTAAGGTTT